CTATAGCAAAGTTTGCATAATTACGCTCCATAGCAAACATAGAAACTATATAATTCCCTATACATATACAGTTGAAGCGAATTGTATAAAACGAATTGTATAAAACTAGAAAGAGAAAGACACTTGGACAGAGAATTGTATAAACGAATTGTATGATTATAAGTGTATAGAACGATAATATACAATTTGAATCGAATTGTATAAAATGAGAAAGAGAGAAATTAGATATAATTTGAATTTGTATAAAACAAGAAAGAGAGAAAGACAAATGAAACTGGGCAAGAGAGTATTTTTATTGTATAATTATAAGTGTATAGGACGAAAATATATGTACTTGCATGTGTATATACAATTTTCTCACGCTTTATACAAACAGAAACGCATTTTATACATTTTACTTCTGTTTGTATAAGTGAGAAAAGCGAGGGTTGCGAGGGAGATCTGGAAGAGGGGAGAAAGGGGAACAAAAATATATATTTATACAATTTTCTCTGCTTTATACAAATGAAAACAGTTTTTATACACTTGTGTTTATATAAAAAGTGAGGAAGCGAGTGAGAGATTGGAGCTAGAAAGGGAGAGTGGCGAGCGAGATTTTTGAGAGAGGCGACTGGCAAATTTTGGCAAGCGTTTGCTACGGAGCACAATTAAATCAAACTCTAGTTACTTCATTTATTTTAGGTTATTAATTTGTTATTATATATATAATTATCCCTAAAATATATAAACATAATAAGGATCAAAATTGACATTTTAAATTATGTTATTAGTTGTTGTATTCTATTTTTTTACAAATAATTTTTTTGTTTAATATTTTTTGAGAAAATTAGTAACCTATAATTTTGTTTTGTTTGTTTTAGAGATTTGATATCGTGTTAAAACCAAAAAATGTACACATTTAATTTTAAATATGTTATAAAATCAAGCTCATAAGAGATATAATTATAAAGAGAAGAAGAGAAGAGATGTAGATAGAAGAAGAGGAATTTTCTTATTATTCAAGTGTATTCAAGTCTCATATGTATCTATTACAATAGTGAATGAACAACCCTATTTATAGAGTGAGAAATCACTCCAAAGGTCACCATATTAAGTATCATAATAAATAGATACATTCTTATCCAAAAAGGTTCATGTAACCTAGTGAATATGAATGGTTGTTCATGTACCAACCTTATGGACTATCCACTTAATTCAATGTATTTATAACACTCCCCCTTGGATGTCCATAGATAATGTGCCTCGTTAAAACCTTACTAGGAAAAACCCTGTGGGAAAAAATTCTAGTGAAGGAAAAAGAGTACACATATCTTTTGATACGCACCATTTGTTGCCTCATTAAAAACCTTGCCAGGAAAACCCAGTGGGAAAAAACCTCGATCAAGGGAAAAAGAGTGCAACGCGTATTGTACTCCCCCTGATTAAAACATCACTTGATTTCTTGTGATGATGTCTCCAATCTTTGTACATTGTGGTTGGTATATTCTTTTTCAAAGAAAAATCACACATTTCTTGAATATGGTGTGTCACTTATCTCAACCAGACGCACTTTCGACTTGCTTCATGGAGGACTTTTATTTCTGCATAGCAACATTTGCTTCATTGATCGCCAGGATATTATTGTGCCTCCACATGTAAACACATAGCGTTCTTGAGATAGATCTTTATGCGGATCAGATAAATATTCTGCATCTGCGTAACCAATCAATTTTGTCTTGGATTCCTCGGGATAGAATAAACCCATAACTATGGTCCTTCGAGGATATTCAATCATGTGCTAAACACCATTTCAATGTCCTTTTATCAGGGAGAAATTGAATCTTGCCAGTAAATTTACTGCAAAACAAATATCTGGTCAAATATTGTTAGTAAGATGCACTAGTGCCCTAATTGCACCAAGATAGAGTTTCATCACCAAGAAACTCTTCATCCTTCTTTTGAGATCAAACTGAATCATCATTTATGTCAAGTGATCTCATAATCATTGGGGTACTCAATGAATGCGATATATCCACATAAAATTGCATCAAAATTTTTCAGTGTATGTGCACTGTTGTCTGTTAGACAAATATTTTATTTGTCAAATTAACAATCTGTAGGTCAAGACAAAATTTTGTCTTACCAAGACCTTTTCATAAAAATACAAGGACAATTAGGGTCATTCTTTTGTACCCTTTTTCTTCCTTGACTATTTCAATCCATATAAGGATTCTTGAAGCTTTATTGGATAAGTTTCTTTCAAACCTTTATATGCTTCAGACACCTGGATTGTTTCAAGGATTTTCATATATCCTTCATTGTCTAGCTAGACATTACAATTATTCATTTACATGCATTCAAGTTTTCATATGTTGCCAGATCAAAACAAACCTCATTGCATCCACCAAAGGAGAAAACATCTCCAATAATGTCAGGATTTTTGCGATAAACCTTTATGCCCCAAGGCACAAATCGTATTTGATATCTTACGGTTATACTATCGCATAATAATTTATTTGTACCCCACTGACATTATACCTTGATTTATGGACTACCAGTCCAAAATGTCACTTTTCTAAGTGAAACAAAATATACTTGAATTGTGCATTATACTTGGCCAACCATTTATCTGTTCACACTATATGACAGATTTGAATTCAAGATCCTCATCACAATTTATATCATTGAGCGCTACCTCATATCAAAGATACCGTCGACGGTTATTTGATATCGATTCCAACAAGACATAACTTATCGAGATCTCTTCATTTTTTATTATTTCAGGTACCTGAACCTTTTTCAAGATTTTATGAAGTGTTATGTCAATGTGCTCTTTTATAGCACTTGCCTCATTATCATGACCATATTGATCATTTGCTCCTTCCTTCTTTAAGGAATTTTATATTTGGAATCAATTGGTCTATTACGCTTTCGGCGTATCATAGACTCTGTCCTTCAAGGACTTCACATTGAAGCATTCGCAGCTGAATTATATCATAGGGTCAGTGCATTCCCCTGGCAACTGATTTGCAACATTATGCAACTGAATTATCCCTTGAACTTTAAGTTCACATATTTATTTAAATTGCCTTCACATTTTGAAGGACTATTTGAAGAACTTATAGTGTTCTTCCTTTTATCATTACCACAATGATGACTATTATAATTATGTCCCTCCACGCCCTTATTCATATCATTAATCATTTGTCATTTTTCAGACTAACATTCACTGCTACCACATTCATATGATTGAATGGAGCAAGTTAACAGGCGGATTTCAGAGTTATTACATGTTGCTACCACATTCTTTTCAAGGAATGAAGCAAATTCAATAGAATGAATTTCAAGACTTTTCATCAAAGCCTAGTCATCATTATATCATCATTATGGTGCATTGACTCAAACTCAATGTCTTATCCATATAAGGCGTTTTACGCCATAATTCTATGGGACTTGAACCCAATCACGGTGCATCAAAACTCAAATTGATGTCTTACCCTTTTGGTGCGATAGAACTTGAATCTATCGTCTTATCCTCAAATATTTTTCATTATGGTGCATCCGGACTTTAACCTGATGTCCTACCCTTTTGGTGCGATGAAACTTGAATTCATCGTCTTACCCTTAACCAACGGTATAATAAATCGAAGTACAACATGACTCATCCTTTGAGTCTTTCAAAACAATCAAAATAACATTCAAATTCATGCTATTAAAATTTTATACCTTCTTCTATTTAAGAAATTTTGTATAGCATGTCATATTCAACCAATAGTAGTAAATGTCTTCGGTTCCTGATAATTGTTAGTGACTGAATACTATTTTATTCTAAATCATAAAAATATTCTAGAAAATACATACCTGATTTTATGCATATAATACTTTGATCTTCATAACGAGATCAACCAAAACATGAGTTAAAGAAAAAGTAAAACTCAATCTTAATTGGCTAGAGACTCGTGCTGATAACGTGTTATAAAATCAAGCTCATAAGAGATATAATTATAAAGAGAAGAAGAGAAGAGATGTAGATAGAAGAAGAGGAATTTTCTTATTATTCAAGTGTATTCAAGTCTCATATGTATCTATTACAATAGTGAATGAACAACCCTATTTATAGAGTGAGAAATCACTCCAAAGGTCACCATATTAAGTATCATAATAAATAGATACATTCTTATCCAAAAAGGTTCATGTAACCTAGTGAATATGAATGGTTGTTCATGTACCAACCTTATGGAATATCCACTTAATTCAATGTATTTATAACAAAATATAAATTAATCAGCTACAACATGTTTATACTACTCCTTTAATAATTTTCACCTCTAACTTCTGTAGGGGTGGGGCTAGTAGCTCACCTGTCGATTTGGTCAAATTTCATATATTTTGTTAATAAATTCATTATATATTATATGTATAAATTTAAATTAAAACCTAATTTTATCGCTAAAAATTATTATTTTAAAATTTAGAATCTATTAAAATTAAATTTTAACTTTTCCTCTGATTTTTTTAAAAAAAAATTAATGTAGAGCTTGTTGCTTTTAACTTATAAGTTACTTTTAATTTCAAACTCAATATATTTTTGTTGATAAATTAACTATATATATAAATATTAAATTTAGAACCTATCATTAAAAATTATTATTATAAAATTGTTTTTCACTTTTAAGTCAAAAAGTTACAAGTTAGAAAGAATTTCTAACGTATAACTTTTAGCTTATTTTTGTATTTTTTACTTAATAAAAAAAAACTATTGTTAACACTTTTACATTTACCCAAATAATTCAAAAATATTTAAAAGCTATTTTTAGCCTAAAACGCTTAAAATAAGCTAATTGATTTAGTTTGAACATTCAAGTTACTTTATTTTTATATCCGGCTATTCATGTCACGAAAGGGTATATAAATTACAAAGCACATAGAGAATTATCACTTAAATAAAATTTATTCTAAAAATATCTATATAGATAAGGTTAGTATAATATTTTAAAATTATCAGAAAAATCAGAGAGCGATTCTGAAACAATTTCAATATTTAAATGTATCATCCAAATATAACATATTTGTGATATATAAGTAGGGAATCATGGTGTGTGACAAATACAAATACAACAACTCAATTAGTCTTATTTTTTTCTCTGTTGCTTGAAATCGCCATTAGATGAAGTTTGATCTTGCCATGAAGCTTGCCATTGCTTGTCATAAAATGTAGCTTCATCAGCCAACTTCTTTAAATTATCAAAATCTGTCCTTTTCCTAAACAAAATTACACCTCCAACTGTTGCCAAAAGAGCAGTTTTACACACGAAATTTCCCATTTGGCCTACTACGTCAAGTCCCGTTAGTACATCCACTAGATACGCCATGAAAAATCCCACCATTGCTGCTCTTCCTGAAAAACTTATAACTGTACTCTATTAGTACCGTCTCAATTTACGTAACACTATTTCCTCAGAAATACAAATGCTATGACAATATTTAAGGTCAAAAGTTCATTTTTTTTTAACTTAATGAATCAAACTATGTCACATAAATTGAAACGCAGAGAGTACAATTACTTTTTCTAGATAATACAAACCATTTAGTAGCTCAGCTTCAGGGAGGTGAGAATGCATCATCCATGCCCACCATGGTATGATAGAACTTCTAAAGACAACAGGTTGTTGATTTGTTGCTGCTTCTGGGAATAGTTCAAGAAATTTCCTTCTCTTTGCTTCTGCAACGTACATACCGTTAATTAATGAATAAATTAATTCACTTGAAAAATCGCGGTGATTTAGTAATTGAAAGACTTGTTCTTTTGTAATTTTACCAGCTACTATGACAGCATCCCAATCCATTTTGCCATTTTTGACAAACATATTTAGATCCCATGTCCCATTCTTCCATCGCTTATCCGAAAACCTTATTAGATCTTCAGACTCTGATGAACCTGTAGTAGTATCACCTTGCACTTCATCATCATTCCTTGTGGTCTTTGTATTATCATCAATCAGCAAAGAAGATTTATCTTTGATTTCAACAACATTTAAGTGTGTTTGTTCTTCGACTTTTGGAGTCATAACGTTAGTAATCTTCATCGACTTGGCTTGACGAGGCCATTGTTTCTTCTTGAAGTTATGGGAGGTGCAAGGTGTATGTGTAAATGAAGTAATAGTAAAAGCAGCCATAATTGTAAGTGTTTTCTCTGGTTTGTCTCAAATTACTGATCTTTTCATCTTGAATGAAATGGTGATAAGGATAAGATGCAAAAAGGCCCATTCTGAAATTAAAAAAGCTTATCCAATTCTGTAACTTTTTTCTGCAATATCATGGGCATGGCAGCCCATGTCTAATCCTGACCATATCTGCTTCCACTTTTGGTGACTATTTTTAAGAATACAACAATTGCTGAGGATACGTGTTACCGAGGGTCTATTGGAAACAATCTCTTTATATTTCACAAGGTAGGGATAAGGTTGCATACACACTACCCTTTCTGGACCCCACTTACGGGACTACACTGGATATGTTGTATGATGAGAGCAGGGTATAAACTACTGGCACCAGCAGTGAATCAAGCATGTTCTATATATTTTGGGGCCTTGAGCCCCAATGAGTTTGGAGTAAGAATTTGGAAACCTTTTGCTTTTAGTATATATGTCCATACAATTATGGCCTATTGATTGCACCAGATAGGATTTCATCTTTATTGTTCGACTCTGCAAGATGTTTAAGAAAGATATGAAGATTTTAAAAACTTATAGCCGTTATAAACATGTCATAACATTTGTGTGACTATAAAAACTTCTCGTTTAAGGCAAAATGAGAAGTTTAAAGCTAATGATTTCCAAATTACGGAACTGTTTTTAAAGGAAGATAATATCAAAGAAATTGGAACAGATAAGGAATTCCAAAACTATTACTTCTGTCGCATCACATCAGAGTAAAGATAAACCAATGCAATAATATGCATTCAGCATGTTCTTAGTATAAGTTACTCCATAACAGGCAATCCTCATGCTAGAAAATGAGGGGAAAAAACAGTTAAGCACCTGAGCTCATAAGAAAATGGCGATAGGGGCCAAATGGCTCCAAGGTCCCAAATGAAAAAAAAAACATAAAATTCTAAGTAATTGATGACTCAAGTTATGATTAATGTCTCAAGTACACATTTCAGTTAGTAGAACATTCTATGGTTCGTACTTGAAAGGAAGAATTGCGAATGATCTGCTGCAGGATGAGTACATTGTGCTGTGAAAAGAGTGCCATTATGCCTCCCAACCTCTTAATTGAGTGGCACGCGCAACACGATTCACCCCCAATGTGAATGCACCCATCCGAAGATTGCAATTATGTGAATGGCACATGCCCTTGAGGTTATGAAAGGCTCTTGTCATGTATTTCTTAAGCTCCCTATTAACCTTCTCCTCATCCCACATAAATCCTTGAATATTCTGCATATGAAAGAAGAATTATTGAGAATAAGAACTCCAAATGTTCGTTACATCTCAGTTTTCAGATAAAAAGAATAGAGTAAGTACATATCTCAACACCAGTTAAAGCGAGATTTAGAGTTTGAGCAAATTGGAACTTAGTAACTATGTTTTCTCGAGAAATGACTTTACAAAGACTGTCTTGATAAAGATGCAAGATTCCCAATTAACTATACTGTTGCATCTTTCACTAAATTTTCGCTTGAAATATTTTTCAACATAAACCCTTCATGATGCTATATGTTGCAATGGCAAAAATATTGGGGAGGCATAAATATCAAAAGTTACCTGAACCCATTCAAAATAGCTGACAGTCACTCCTCCAGCATTGGCATAGATGTCTGGAAGTATTACTACTCCTTTCTTCGATAAAATCTGCAGAAGGCCATTGTGTGAGGAAAATTATGATTCATGCTAGTCCAAGAGACTTGAAAGTTCTGGGAAAAAAAGTGATACCTCATCAGCATCTGGATCAGTAGGATGGTTTGCTGCTTCTATAATGAATTTGGCCTTGACGTTATCAGCATTTTCTCTTCAAACAAAAAAAAGATCAGAATATACAAGGACAAGTAAGATACTCTACATTAGGTACATTTAGCTCATAAAAAAGAGAGAAGTTTCTATTTGCAGAGCTTATGCCCATAATTTTGGAACAGTTGCTGACATTGACTTCTCCATTTTCTCGACACAAAAGCAAATTTCAAGAATTAAACAACAAGATAAAGGTTGAACCTGTTCAAAACTCCTCCCAAAGCACAAGGGATGAGAACGTCACATTCATGCGTTAGCAATTCATCAGAATTCATCACATCCGCACCAGCAAAATCGATGAGCTTTCCTGTTTTTTCTTTATGACTGAGTAAAGCTGGTATATCGATCCCATTGGAGTTCTTGATCGCTCCAGTTATGTCACTCACTGCAACTACCTTTCCACCTCTCTCATGAATGAGCTTTCCTGCCCAGGCTCCTACATTTCCAAATCCCTAAGGAATCCAAATACATATTTATGACATCATTTCGACCAAATATTGTGTAATGTGCTAGGACTAATCTAATTGCATAATAACCTGAATTGCGAAAGTCAAATCCTTAACGTGCTTCCCATATTCAGCAAGTAAAGCTTCTGTAGCATAGACGACGCCACGCCCTGTTGCAGCTTCTCTTCCCAATGACCCTCCAAGATCCTAAACAAAATGCAGCAAAGGATGATTACAAGAGTCACACATGAATTGTTTCAGTTTTAAAAGGTAGTAGTACATTATGAAAATCTTACAATTGGTTTTCCAGTCACAATGGCTGGTGAGTGACCATGAAATTTTGAGTACTCGTCCAAAATCCAGGCCATAGTCTGTTGACAGCAAGCATGACATAGACTATAAATCGCACCTTATTCTAAAGTTTCAAAATGAAGAACATATATCGACAAACTTGCAAATAGAATTGTGTTACTAACCTGAGCATTAGTGCCCATATCAGGGGCAGGCACATCAGTATTAACTCCAATTAGATCATGAATTTTCTGTGTGAAAACACGAGTAAGTCGCTCCAACTCGCTCACACTTAAATCCTTTGGGTTACAGCCGATTCCACCTTTAGCTCCCCCATATGGGATGTCGGCTACAGCGGTCTTCCAAGTCATCAGTTGAGCAAGGGCATTTACCTCATCTGGGTCAACCTTATAGAAATTTTATAGCATCTCAGTATAGAATCATTTATTAGTGGAGCTCTTATCATAAAACGGTAGTAGATTTGTAGAAGGATGTAGACTGTAGTGAAGTTAAATCAACTATAAAAGAGAGAAATCCTTCAGATACAAATGTTATACCAAATTTACAAGAGTTGATCGTCAGAAGAATCGATAAACTACAGCTCAAGAGTGTGAATGCTATATTCTGGAACTTCTTGTTCCAATACTAAATACTTTTTGTCTTTAAAAATAAATTAGGAGTTCTCTAAATCTCACATTTATCCTTATGATTACAGTTAAGTGTTTAATCAACTAAAACAGCTTCTAGCATAACACCTTACTAAACGTAATTGTAACAACAACGACCAACAATTAACTGCAACAAACACTGAAAGTCTCTAGACATGGCTGATAAATTAACTACTAGTTTAACAAAAAATTATATGTGGGGAACCTCCGTCTGCAAAATACTTTCGCAAAGCTGAAAAACTAAATCCCATTCCACAGCTATGGTAACATTTTTCTTTTCTAATAAAACCAGTGCTCCATGTCTGAAGCACCTCATCAAGTGTTGCATAACATGAGTTATCGAAAACATGATATTTTTTACAAGCAAATGTCTATACGCATATATAGTAGTGAATCTTATTGAAACTAGAACTCGAATAACTTATTTTGGATTCACTAAAATCTAGCATCAATAACCAACCATCTAACAATCATTATGGCAGAGCAATGGCAGAGCAAGCTTATACTACTCAATTACTCATCATAACTATAGTTTGCTATACTATACAAGAAGTTACCTATCCCTCAAAAACCAACATCAGAAGTTACAAGGACTCTCTTTGAACAAGAACACAACGGCAGACGATTATGTATCATGATTGAAATTCCATACCGAATCCCCCAATCAGTAATTTTTTTACCATATCATATCCACGACTACTCACAAAGTTGTCATAAAATAGAAGATCCAATCACAAAATTGCAGTACAAACAAAACAATCATAGTTAGATTTTAAAGACCATCAGTCAAGTAACAGTTATTATTTACCTCAGGATGGTATCTGATTCCGCCTTTCATAGGGCCACGAGCATTATCATGCTGCACTCTAAATCCAACATAGGAAACCAACGTTCCATCATCCTTGGGAATTGTGCATTCCACCTGAAAGAAAATTTCTATTTTTTGTACTCAAAATTTAAAACAGAATACTCATTAGTTGTAAAAAAAGAACCTTAATTTCTCTGAAAGGAATGAGAAGACTCTTTTCGATTTTGGAATCCAAGCCAAGAATTCGAGCGGCTTGTCGGAAATTGCGGTTGGTTGCAGCGAGAGCGTTCATAGCAGCAAATTGATGTTTTCTTGGTTACACTATTTTGGAAGACTAACCAATAACAAGGAAATTGAGTAAAATAATTTCTATTTATTTGACTAGAATGTGACAATTAAATTTCTATCTAACTGACACTTCTACAAAAAGATTTACTAGCCATAATTACTTAAATGACTAGGATGTGACACTTATCAAAAGAATTCATATTTAAAACTATCTCAATAAATATATTTGGTATGAAATCGTAATAGCAGTAAATTTCAGGTGTATTTAAAATACTCTTTAAATTAGAATTACTAAAATAAAAGTTTCAAAATCACTTGATGATTTCAAAAAATTACCCTGCCTAAAATTTTCTTCTGTCCAATAAAAAAAAACTGTCCAAGAAGCATTTATTGTAATTTATTCTTCTATTTTATTTTTTATTTTTTCATTGTTGTTTATTTTTCGAATTTAGTATCACTTGTTTTTATAAGAGGAGAAATAAGGTGTATTCATTAAATTTTAAAAACATTCTTTAAAATAATATTTATTAATTTATTGATAATAACTCTACAAAATTAAAATAATAATTTACAATTTCAATAATTATATTCCATCTTGATAATAAAATTATTAATTTTCATGAAATTCAAAACATTTAATGAATTCATTATTTTCTAGTTAAATTATTTCTGTTAAAAAATAATTCTTTAAGAGGTATTAATTGTAGAGATTAAGTGAAATATATATATTGTTATAAATCCATTAAATAATTGGATAATCCATAAAGTTAGTACATGAACAACCATTCATATAAACGACGAAAATGAAATATATTTACATTATCACAGACCCATCATCTATCAGGTGATCTATCTTTCCTTCGGGAAACTCAAAGAAATCCGCTACATCTAGATGCATGGGTTCAACAGTATCTTCCGTGATAAAGTTGGCTTCTACGTTATTTTTCACCTCCTTCAGGGAAGCTTGATATAGCTCAACCAGGTGCCTTGGCGTACGACAGGTACGTGACCAATGTCCTTTTCCTCCACATCGATAACATTTGTTGTCTGAATTTTTCTTCTGCACTATGTCACGTTTTTCATTCTTCTTTTTACACCGCTGGTGTTGAATGTTATTATTTAGTGCAAGACGATCACCATGATTGAAATTTCTTCCTCGATCACGACCACGTCCACGACTGGGGCCACGACCTTTTTCACGCTTAAATTGGTGAAAACTAGCCGTATTTACTTCAGGAAATGGCATAGAACCAGTAGGTCGACTTTCATGAGTTTTCATCAGTAAATCATTATGTTGTTCAACAACAAGGAGATGTGAGATTAATTCGAAATACTTTTTAAATCCCATTTCTGTGTATTGCTGCTGCAGAAGCATACTCAAGGCAGGAAAAGTGGAAAACGTTTTTTCCAGCATATCATGGTCAGTGATATTTTCTCCACATAATTTTAATTGTGAGATAATTATAAACATGGAAGAGTTATACTCACTGATAGATTTAAAATCTTGAAGTCTCAAGTGGATCCAGTCATAACGTGCCTGGGATAGTCCATAAAGTTAGTACATGAACAACCATTCATATTCACTAGGTTACATGAACCTTTTTGGATAAGAATGTATCTATTTATTATGATACTTAATATGGTGACCTTTGGAGTAATTTCTCACTCTATAAATAGGGTTGTTCATTCACTATTGTAATATATACATATGAAACTTACATATACTTGAATAAGAAGAAAGCCAGAAGATCATCCATTTGCAAAACATAACGAATCAAATGCCAGACGCATTTATTGATTCAAAAAGGATAATAAAGTCACATATTCCTGCAGTAAATGTGCATATCCGAATCGACGTCCCAAAAGGACCATCTACAAGTGTCATAGCTTCTGAATCACAAATACGCCTGAAGAGTGGTAGACCAGTGGGTTCAAAAGATAATAATCCTAGAAAAAGAAGTACAAAAAATGACTCAAGTAAATGAAGAACTCTCAATAAGTTCTTCTACAGGTGATGGGATAAGTTTAGATCGATCAAAAATCATAGTAGATAATGTTTTCGCATATGATGATGCACTTAACATTATGCAAGGAAATGAGGATGTTGAACCTCTATCTGTCGAAGAATGTCGACAAAGACGTGATTGGCCAAAATGGCAAGAATCAATTCAATCAGAATTAAATTCACCTGCTAAGCGTGAGGTTTTTGGACCAGTAGTCCAAACACCTAGTGATGTTAAACCAACTGGCTATAAATGGGTCTTTGTACGAAAAAGAAATGAGAGAAATGAGATTGTAAGATACAAGACACAACTTGTTGCACAAGGATTCTCTCAACGACCTGGTGTCGACTATGAAGAAACATATTCACCTGTTATGGATGCAATAACTTTTCGATATCTCATCAGTTTAGCTGTACATGAAAATTTTGAAATTCATCTAATGGATGTGGTTACAACTTACCTTTACGGTTCACTTGATAATGAAATTTATAATGAAAGTTCCAGAAGGACTTAAAATGCCTGAAGCATGTAGTTCAAAATCTTGAGAAATATATTCAATCAGATTACAAAAGTCATTATATGGCTTAAAACAATCAGGGCGCATGTGGTATAATCGCCTAAGTGAGTACTTGATAAAACAAGGTTATATAAACGATGTCGTTTGTCCTTGTATATTTATTAAGAAAACAACATTGGGGTTTGTTATGCTTGTTGTTTATGTTGATAACATTAATCTCATTGGAACTCCAGAAGAGGTTCAAAAAGCAATTGAATATCTAAAGGAAGAATTTTAGATGAAAGACCTTGGAAAGACAAAAATTTGTCTTGGACTACAAATAGAATATTTAGTAGACGGGGTCTTCATCCATCAATCTGCCTATACTGAGAAAATCTTGAAACGATTTTACATGGACAAAGCAAATCCATTAAGTACTCCAATGATTGTCCGATCACTTGAAGTGAGTAAGGATCCATTCCGACCTCAAGAAGAGAATGAGGAACCTCTTGGTCCATAAGTACCTTATCTTAGTGCAATTGGGGCACTTATGTATCTTGCTAATGCTACGAGACCTAACATAGCATTTTCTGTTAATTTGTTAGCAAGATATAGTTCTTCCCCTACACGATGACATTGGAATGGAGTTAAACATATATTGCGATATCTAAGGGGAACTAGTGATATGAGTCTATTTTATACTAACAAAGATAGTGCAAATTTTGTTGGTCATGCAGATGCAGGTTATTTATCTGACCCACATAAATTTCGATCACAAACAGGCTATCTGTCCACATATGGAGGTACTGCTATATCGTGGCGATCTACGAAGCAGTCTATTGTCGCTACTTCTTCAAATCATGCTGAGATAATAGCCATTCATGAAGCAAGTAGAGAATGTGTATGGTTAAGATCAGTAATACATTCTATCAAAGAAAGATGTGGTTTGAAGTGTGATGTCAAGAAGGAATAGAAAAAATTTAAAATTGTAAAAAAAAAGTAATCCAATGGATGTTTTAAAATAAAATTAATAAATAGTTAACTTTTTGTTAATTAAATTCTGAAAATTGTGAAACAACTTTTTTGGCCTATAAATAATTTCAATATATAAATAGTATAATAAATAATGCAACGTTAAAATTTTTTATTTTTACAAAATTGTAAGAGGAATCGATTTATTTGATTCTTAGCTATATAACATGTTTGTATTTAATATTTCATATTTTATTACTTTATATTGAGTTGTGATATATTACTTTTTTTATTGCTAATATTTATTATATATTTGTATAACATTTTTATAGCTAGTGAGGAGGAAAATATTGTTAGACGAAATTAAAAATAAGATATATTGGTGTTTCTTCAATTAACTAATTAAGTTGATAAGGAACCAATCAACTCTTTGCATTGGAGGTTTAACCGGAGAACTATAAACTATCCTTACAATAATAACAACAAAAAGACATAAAATTATAGTTAACTAATCAAGCAAAATATTAAAAATATTTAGTTATATATGATTTGAAGAGGAAGAAGGATCATGTTCTCAACATAGCATAATTCAATTCTTTAAAATTTACAATGTGAATAAAAACAATCAGTGTCTTTAGAAACTACAAGAATAAGAAAAAAAACTAAAAAAAGTACAAAGAGAAGCAAAAGAGAAAATGAACAAATTATTTTTTCTATAAAAAAAATCATGATTTGTATCATTAACAATCCAAACTAATAATATTAAATGTATAATTACAATAGAAAAAAGTGATAATGATAATTAGATATGTCAAATTATTTTATCTCACAAAATCAAACTATGCAAAATATCTAACATTTTTCATTATACATCCCTCTCCTCCAAAAATCAGATCAAAGAAGACCAAAAAATTAATAAATCAAAGAAACAAAAAATGAAGAATAAGGAAAATAAAAATAAAATGACCATCATACATGTCTCAAAGTGGATTTTTATAGATATAATATTTAGGAGTTATAATTTTTTACATTAAATAATTTGAAGATTATGAATATGAAAGGTTAAGAGTTATATATATATTATTAAATTAAAAGGTTAGAAGTTATATATATATATATATATATATATATATATAATATCATTGCGTAAATTTTTTTTAAAAGCCCTAAAAATTTTTTTTGAAAAATAAATATTTTTCTGATCATTAAGACATGCCACACAAACGGAATGAAGATCCTCATTTATATATATGTAATATATATTGATTTGTAGCTTTGTTTAATATTTATGGCTTAATGAGCGGCAGTAACACAGTAACAGTTCAACCCTTCTTTGACTTTTGCATTTTACATTGTTTTCAAACTAGTTCTTATATGTATGTTCTTTTTTGTGATGCATGTTAAATCCCATGGAGTCTAATTTGGACTCAAATGGTTCCCTCATTTGCATTTCGAATCGGCCACGGAGGCCATAGTGTCTGTTTGAATTGACTTATTTTATATGCTTTTAAGTTAAAATATCTTTTAAGCACTTTTGAAGTGTTTGCGTAAAGTTAAAAAGCACTTATTTCAAAGTCAAAATAACAA